GCACTCCAGTCTGGGCAACAGAGTGAGACTCCAACTCAAAAAAAAAAAAAAAGTCAATTTCTTCCATAAATCAACCATAAAAGACATTAATCATGATCATATTCATGGTCTCTCTTTCACATTTTCCATTCAAGATATCAGAAAGCTTTTTGGGAAAGGATTCAGAGCTAGCCCTGTATATACCCTTCAGACATTCCTCACCATGTCAGATGATAACTTCAATACTACCCCATGAGATGACAAAAGATGAAACACAATAATGGCACAATTCATAACAAGAACGAGGATAACTAACATTTATTCAGGGCCTACTGTCAGCTAACACAATGTTAAGCTCTTCACTTACATTATTACATTTAACCAGCACAACGACCCTGCGTCTCTGATTCCTGTTTTGTTTTGTTTTGTTTTGTTTTGTTTTGTTTTGGAGTAGGAGTCTCACTCTGTCACCCGGGCTAGAATGCAGTGGCATGCTCACGGCCACTGCAGCCTCGTCCTGCTGGGCTCAGGCGATCCTTCTGCTTCAGCCTTCCAAGTATCTGGAACCACAGGTGTACATCACCACACCTGGCTAATTTTTTAATTTTACTGTAGAGGCAAGGCCTCGTCAAGTTGCCCAGGTTGGTCTTGAATCCCTGAACTCAGGCAATCCTCTCGCCTCTGCTTCCCAAAGTGCTGGGATTATAGGTGTGAGCTACCACACCAGGCTGATTCCTTATTTTTAACTTCTTTACTTGCTTCTGCATTCAATGTACACTTGAAGAAGCCAGAGTAAACAGGTGACTTTTTCAAAGGAAAAATTAATCAAATTTTATTATGGAAATGAAACACAGTGGAGGCATTTGCTGTCCAGTCATTCCTTGTGACTCAGGTTCAGCCCCTTCCAGAACTTCCAGAACTTCTTGCATATCAAGAGGAAAGCTGCATCAAGAGGTGCTACAAGGTGTCTCTTTTCTTCCAAAAGCCACCAAGACTCCATCAACTGTAAGAAAGGAAAATACAGACTCGCCAACTACTAGAACCTACTGTTTTGAGTGTGGTTTACATTTTGTAGATTAAGGGAGGGAGAGTTACTGAGATATTTGAAGTTTTAAAGATAGATTTTTTTTTTTTGAGTTGGAGTCTCGCTCTGTCCCAGGCTGGAGTGCAGTGGTATGCTCACAGCCACCCGACCTGCTGGGCTCTGGC